CTGCCGTAGAGAACATGACTAGTAATTCACTGGCCAAATATCGAACACAGACCATATGGATGCACTGCGAGGATTCTCTAATTAAACCAACGATGTGCTAGATATGAATTGGCCGGGGTCAGTTTATGAGCTTTCATGGCATATACCACTGTTTAGCGAAAGAGTAATCCATATTTTTATATTGGCTTTACACTTTTTGAAGGAAAACGAAACTTCGAGATTCCTGAAAGTATAATTTTGCTTTAGGCTGACTTCAATCTCTGCTTTGACTGCCTATTGAAATGGCATAAAATAACCCTGAACTTAACAGATATTCACGCTGACAGTTGAATCATTTTCCACAACTAATAACGTTATCGTTTTACGTGGGTTGATACACACGTTAGGCGGTTATAAAGCATCTATGTCTATGTGCGTCAAAACATTACTATCATGAGAAGTTGAGTGATGTTTCTCACTGTTAAAAATATATCCTCCACATACTCTTAAGTTCTGTATCAACACGGTATCCTTAGGATATTTTTATTGCCTTTGCAAGCCTTGTCGTTGGGTCCGAAATTCTGTGATATTTCGACGAATTCGAGTGACTTGGATATCAAAGTCCAGTTTGAAGCACTGATCCAACATACAAATGATCTTTCTGCAGAGTCCAACAAATCATATGAACAATTCAAGTCTACAGTATTAAATAGCTGCCATCAGTACATCAACACGAAACCAAAAGTCAGAAGATTGATTTCAGCTGAGCACAGAAAGCAACTGCGTGAGATTCTAAAGAACAAAGACTTGGTTGTGACACGCCCTGACAAAGGTTCTGGCATTGTGCTGATGGATTGCCAAGACTACATCGATAAAATGTTATCAGTCTTGTCAAATGAAAACAAATTTTCAAAAGAAAGTAGCCATAAAGACCAAACGGAACAAATTGAAAGCAAGATAACACAAATGCTGAAGAATATGAAGAACGAATCGATTATTAGCTCTGAATTATTCGAGCAAATACGACCCTCCGGTCCGTGATTCCCCGTTTATATGGTCTGCCGAAGTGCACAAACAGAACGTGCCACTACGTCCAATCTTGGACATGAAAAATTTCCCCACATCATGCTACTGCCATATGGCTCACAGAAATCCTCCTACCTATCAGAAATAACCTCTGCAAGCATAGTGTTTCTGATTCGTTTGAATTCGTCAATTCAATAAATGATGCTAATTTATCCGGGAAGAAAATGATATCTTTGGATGTTACTTCGCTTTTCACCAACGTTCCCCTCACTGAAACTATCTGCTTTATGTGCAAATTCATTGAGGATAATAATGTGAACGTATGTGTTCCGATCCACTACTTAAAGGAACTACTTTTGAGGTGCACTCTAAATGTCCAATTCAAATTCAACAACACGATTTATAGACAAAGAGATGGAGTAGCAATGGGTTCACCATTGGTTCCTTTACTTGCAGACTGCTTCTTAGCCAGTTTGGAGAATAGTATTTTACGGCCTACTATCGACAGTTTCCATCTGTACCAAAGATACATGGATGATACTTTCATCATATGTGACGACAATACTGACATCGAATTGATAACTAAGGAGTTCAACAGCTGCCATCATGCCATCACATTCAAGTCGGAATCAGAGATTAACTCGGAATTCCATTTTTTGGATGGTTTTCTAAAGAGCAGATCTGATGGCTCTCTTCAAAGATCGATCTACAGGAAACCAACATGGAATGGTCAGTACACAAATTCCCATAGCTGGGTCCCTTTAAGAAGAAAGAGAAATTTGATCCATTCCTTATCCTCAAGAATAAGGAGGATTTGTTCAAGTGATACAATCGATAGGGAATTTGAGCGACTCAGACAAGTTCTCATGGAGAATGGATATCCTCCAAGACTTATCGAGAAAAAACATGAAGTTAAAAGAAAAGCCTGAAAGAATTCAGACTGTGCCGAAGAAACTGCTCTTTATGAGTTTTGAATTTAAAGGTGATACTGCAGCTGAGATCTTGAAGAATCGCTTATGTAGATCACTGAGGAAAGCCTTCTTCATGGCTGAGCTACGTATCAATTTCTACAGCCGAAAAATGACCAACGGATGTGTGAAGGATAAACTGCCGCTTTGGGCCACCTCAATGTGTGTTTATAAATTCACCTGCTCGTGTGGAGCTAGTTATATTGGCCGCACAAAGCTCACGCTTTCAAAACGCATCTCTGAACATTATCCGGCATGGTTAGCAAAGGGAAAATGCAAGACAATTACTAGCTCAATTCTGTTAGTTTGCTTTTGATTTAATAATTAATTCACTATTATCAATTTCATATGCTCCTTTTGTATATTTTCACACCCTCTTCACACTTGTTAAATGGACACTCTAATAACTTTATTCTCACTCAAGAGCAATTTTAACCTTTTATAACTTCTATCTTTTTTTCCGTTGAGTACCATGTAATTTACAACTTTTAACTTTCACTTTCACTAAAGTCACTTATGATTTAATACATCAATTATGTCACCCCCCGTATTACTCAATAATAGACCACTATACATTTTTCTAAGTATAAATACGACTGTACAGCCTCCGAAGATGATTTCGTCGATAAGGAAAATTTTCCTCGCTGAATCTGTCTTTTATTTTCTTTTGACAAACACTGATGTGTTGTGGTTTGAAGGCGTTCAAGTGTACATTTAAATTAAACAGTCCTTCGGGGTGTCCTTATCACACATAAAATACAGATATTTGCAATACATTTTGTGGTAATATTCAACAATGACAACATGTCAAGAACGCGAAATCTTGTCAATAATTCCGCCAGGCAGCTCTACAGATCAAAATGTTATTGCGAATATTGTAAGTGAAACATGGTAAAATTATTTCACCTAAGTCAACCGTAAGGAGTACATTATTATTCCCAACAAGTTGGTACCAAAGGTCTCCTGGCAATAACTGAGTAATTAACACTTCTCCAAGGTTGAAATTGAATTCACTCAGACAAAATCATAACTAAGGAGCAACACGTCATCGACACAAAACCACAAATAGAAGTGTTTAAATGATAAATTATACAGGGACCATGGCAATCAGTAGGGATTGCATCAGTAGGTGATATGCCGGTGTTAGAACAGTGATACACCACCGAAAAAAAGAAGAAATCTTCTTTTGTTGTTAGTTGAAATATCCAAATAAATCGATTCATCGTGGATGTCTTTCAGAAAGGATTCTCCAAGCCATTATGACTTGACACTAATTGCTTCTTATCAGACAATCGGATGTCAGTAAAAACAACCAGAGTTGAAAAGCAAGAAAATTTGAGTTTTTAGAGCGTTTACCGAAACGTGAGGCATTCTGTGAAAATATTTCACGATATTTTATGAGTCGGACACCCGAAATGATGAAGGTGATATTTCCGGACAGAGAGAAAAATAGAACAAACATATGCTGTGGATGAAGACACTTTAATAACAACCATATTCCAGCCTTCAGGTTTTACAGCTATAAGTGCTTTGAGTAAATCTATGACACAGTTGAAAATATTGAGTGGAGTTTTAGCACAATGAATGCAAGAATCACTGAACTATTCTTTCTTCTCAATAATGAAATTCAGAAAAGACGTTTAAGCAAGCACATATTGCAAATAATGGAAAAACTTCGACGTATTCGAAGCAATAAGGTAATATAAAACGAATAGAATAAGGTAGACTGTTCACTAGCTTTTATGAAATCAAGCCAGTGCATTCTTCTCCTGGATATTTAGACTTAAATTCATTTCATCCGTTATCTGTAAAGGCAGGATTAGTTAAGTGTCTAACAAACCACGGAGTAACTCTAAGGAGTAGACAAAAAAACTAAATGATGAAAAAAGAGATAAAAGAAGCGTTGGTGTCAAAGAACTATCCTATAAAATTCATTATGAAGATCAGAATAGATCAAAACAAAAACAATTTCGAAACTAATTACGATAAAATAAATAAAAGGGAATACAAAGCACTTATAGTTCTACCATATAAAATGAGGACATCTGAGACCCTACGTAGGATTCTCAATAAAGCAAGAATTAGAGTGGCGTTTAAACCTACAAACTCACTCGAGGACAAGCTTAAAGCACTTTGTAGTTTGACCCGTCTAGAAAATATTACATAATTTACGCAGTACTTTGCAATTACTGTGTGTTAGGTCAACTAAAGAGATCAAACTAATGGATCGAAGGTAGTCAGATTGTCGGAAAATAAGAATGTAGTGGCTAAGGTAAGAATGGTTGACCCAGGGAGGATAAGTAAATTAAGAAAAAACTCAGGAATTGTACTGCATGCATTAACACACACCCATACAATAGGACGGAAGGGGGTTAAAACTCTAAGAAGTAATGTAGGTAAGTGGAGTGCGATGGAAGTTGATTACTGAATCCTTGTCCATTGAGTCTACACCTAACACATGCAATAGGAACAACCCATCAGTCATGCCGAAAATATGGAAAATACTACTACCAATTAAGTCAAGTGATGAAAACCAATGGAATTATGTAAACGAAGTTAGAAAGTTTTGTAACTAGATACGATTAAGAGCAGCCATAGATTATGCTCGAAATATGGTTATCAGTAAATATTACTGTATGACAACACTGTGAGACTTTATCATAATAAGTTTCACCCAGAATTTAATTTTACTGTACCACAGTATGAAAGTTCTATTATCTTATCAGCAGGTGTGCCTTCTTCTTATTCTTGTGGATTCCCAGTTCTACCGAAACTGCGTCAATAATCAATCGCTAACGTCAGAGAAATCGTTAAGCATTGAGAATCGTTTTTTTTTATCTCCATAAGCTCCATTTCGTATTTTGTTCAGCTTTCACCGATCTTATATATATATATCAGTGTTTTATTTTTAGTAGTATGTATAATATATTTTCTGGTAGCTGAATGTGAGTAAAAAAAGGGGCGTTTACCGTTATACAATGTCATGTCTGATTGGTTCGTTTGAACTTATTGATTCAATTGTTTGTACAAATACCTGAACACTGAAATAACGCTTCATTTGAAATGTCTCATATTTGTATAACATCAATAATGTGCATTGTCTTCATCGAGGTCATCCATGGAGGAGGTGGTAAGCATTTCTTGTATGGATAACTTGGAACTTTATTTTGTCGAGAATATTTTATATGTCAATCCGAAGCATTTCTTTGAATGTTCTCGTCTGAAGTTAAACGTTCAGCTTAGAAGCTACACTATACAGGAATATATGCACATATATACATAGAAATGAATTGTTTGAAGATTGTCAGATTCACTTATATAATCCATCTATGAAATGTATGCAACGCGTCTGAAAATTGCACCGTAAGTGACAAATTATTAGACACTGTAGCAACGAAACAAATGTTAACAACAGGTTGAGTGATTTTGTGAATCATTTGCAGTATACGAAATGAAGTAAAACTTGTATTCTGCTGGGACTTTTTGTTAATTTATCAGGTAAGCTTAGGTTCAAATTCAGCTTGGATTATACACTATAAGGCATAATTTTCTTTAAATTAACTTTAGTAAAATTATGAGTGATCCATCTTTGATGCATTCTAAGCGTGTTAGCAGTAGAAGTAAAGAATTACCACGTTCATAAGAAAGAATGAAAATTCATATAATTTCACCATGATTTGTTTTCCACACAGTTTCATCATATACAATTACTCCTTCATGTGAAGCAGTAGAAAGAGGTAAAGTGACCTCCGTAAATTTGTAATTGATTTCCCCCAACGTACACTTGCAGTTGAATATTATAGAGAGCTGAATTCTAAAATGTTTTACAGTTTCTTATTTGTTAACATGTGTGATCGTTTAGTGCAAAGTACTTACAAACCTCGAAAGCACCACAAAAATATGTTTCTTGAAGCATCGGAAATACCTGGTCATTTTCAAAATTCTTGATTAGCTGATATCTTTAAAAGCTGTAGTTTCATGTGTCGTGACTAATAAACCTGTTGTTTGGAAACCTATTTGTTTTCAAGGTAACACTGGTGATTTTTGCACCGATTTGAGTAAGCGGGATATTTATTTATCATAAATCTATGCACTGGATTGTAATCAGAAGTAACTGATTGGTCACGATAGTGATTCAATGGAATCACCATTGTCATCAATAAAATCTCAATACAAACATGGTTCGAAATTGCTTCTGGGAATGTTGAGTGTTTGATTCGAAGAAAAACTTCAGCGCAGAAAATAAACAATCAAACTGTAGCGATACTCACTGTTATATGATTTCCTGAATACACTGATATTCATTTTAGAGAAGTACTCTTCAAAGACCGTTGTCAACCGAATGATCCTTTAGTTGAGTAAATGTATAGCATCACTGTCTTCATTTGAAAAATTGAAGTTCTTGTTGAAACGCTCCGGAACTTCAGTACTGAGATTACGTTTTGGATCATAATTTTTTTATTTTATCAGAGAAACAGCTTACAGAGTTGCGTAAGTTAGACGTTTTATATCGGAGTTAGATGCCATTGATTATATTGCTTGTAAGTTTAGAAACCTAAAGGTTTGCGGTTACTATTCACAAGTGAATCAATAAAATAGTTTCTTAACTGTGTTACTTAATGGCCTAAATTAACAACAATATCTCGCACAGACGTTGCAGAATTTGGACAGTTATTGCAGAATATAATAGAAGATTGAATTGTGTCTAAGGCAGTCTTTCATTTATATATCTGGGATTTTCCAAATGGTTATACCTTAGAAATATGAAAATAGTGATAGATTTAACTTCACATGCAACATCCAGGAATGTAGAGACTTCGGGTCGTGTTCATTTTAAAATTTTATCTACCGACAGGGTGATTCGGTCACATGCATATTATTATCACTCAGTGATGACATGAATACAGAAGAATCATTTAACAGAATTGGATGGATCCATCCGGCTCAAACAGTCAAAATCCCAATTTCGTGTACAAAATTTAACAGCGTATTCTTTATCCGATTATATGGTCGACTGACAGCAAAAGACATAAATATCAGGCAGAACACATGATATCTCTTGGACGCAATTCCTCTCAGAATATGTCATCAATAGCGACTGTGCGTTTCACATCGATGGCGAATATGGTTATAGCGGAAAGGACAAATGTCTCCTGGCAGGTTTAGAATGCTGCTGAATGCTATAAGCCAAGCATGCTATACTCATTATTTGTACTCTGCAAGACATTTAATGGATGGTTTTAAATTTTGAATTCATTTCATTTGGTGTCAAATATATGTGATGTTACTCAAAAATGCAATTGCTTAGGTATTTTAGTCTTCAGAAGTTGTTCAATTCTTTACCAATTTATGTCAGGATAACCAAATAGCTAATCGTTTTCATACATTTAGTGAAATCTGTAACCTTCCAGTTGCTATGATAAAGTAATCTACCTTTTAAAGTTAGTGGTGCAGGCCGTAAGTTAGTTGTAATTGTGAATAATTGCCAGCACATTGTTACAGGACCACTTGAAGAAGAAAACATTCCCTTAAATTAAAATGCAAACAATTCTGGAGACGTTTCCTTTTTCAAAACGTCAATCTTAAAAACTGCATGAATATATTTTTTATTTCTTTGTACTCTCAGTGGCATATAAGGCTTTAAGCAAAAGACTTGAAGTTTCGATAGCTGTGAACGAGGCGTGCAAGATGCATTGAAGAAGATCTATTTTTCATTTGGACATTGATTTCTCGTATGAGTCATTCATTAACATTTATTTGCCCCGATTGCAAACTGTGAGTAGCAATGAAAATGTTTACTTAAAAGTTTTGAATGGTTGTGATTCTTAGAGGTATTTGGTTTATACAATATGTCACTCACTCCAATAGTCGACTTGATACCAGTAAAACATTGAAGGCATTTTTAAAAACTTCATGCAATTCTTCCCATTAATAAACTTGAACAAAGCAAGAACAACAATTGCACCAGGATAATATAAGCTCACCTTTTATTATTTCGAGGATTCTTCTCAGCTGGTTACAACATGACCGATAAAAAAATATGAATTACATTAAAGATGTGAACATGCTTTTCCACGATCATAAGGAGTAATTGGTAGGAATTAAAACTAACATTAGTCCGGAATGATTTAACTGATTAGGAGTTAAAAACACTGACTATTTATAGAATAAGTATACAGTTAGGCTTGGAACCAAAAAACAGCAGAGTTGCCCATATATGTGTCTGTATGGAAACAAGGTTTAGCTAGAAAGAGCATCACAAAAAAGTGGATTTCAGGTCATATGTTTCAAATCAGAAATCCCTCATTGAGTGAATCCAAACTGATCACATAGTACAGTTGGAAAACTCAGGAACATAAATTCAACAGACAGTTTAAAAATGATCATTTGGCATCTTTTGCAATAAAAAGTTTCCGTGGTGGCAATATTGTGTGTGTGTAATATTACTGATGGATTGATCTGGCTATTATGATCGAAATTATTCCTAAATTAGTTCATTGCGGCTGACTGTTAACAGCAAATTTGTTACTGATTTCAGACCTAGGAGGTGAGCATGTTAAAAACATTGAGAATGTAAACTCTTTCCGAAGCTAAAAATGTTCATATGTAACAAGCGATACATTAAGCTGAGTGTCCCAAAGTCTAACGAACTGTCCTTACATTAAGTTAACACGGAGTTTTCAGATGCCTTCACAAAATGTGAATGCATTCCATGGAATAAATTGACCACTAGTGGATTAATACTCGCTGGGGAAAATGTGGATTTTGCAAATGAATAGAAAAGGGACTAGGCGCATAAAATCCGGTATGCTTTATTGGACTTTGATGATATCAGTTAGCCTTCTAAACAGCATATAAAGAATTCACAGTTGAGAAGTCATTTTATTCTCCTTAACGATTTTTTTATCTTTCTCGAAGATACTGATGGCAGTCGAAAAAGTAATGTCCTCTTTATTTAGCCCTGTGAATCACCATTCACTATCTATTACTTTAAAACTAAGTTAACCACGTTATGGCTCATACCTCATAAACTTACAGCTGCAGTCAGCCACTTGAATAAAAATGTAAACGAAAATTGAAATACTCGAATAAGAACTTTTCAGATTGTAATAAGCAGTCAGATAACTGATGTTGATTTATGGATAATTTCTTAACGATCATGAACAGTATTTTCATTACAAGTTGTTTATAAAATTATTCAATGTTCAGTCAAATTACTGTCTATACATTTTCTCATCAGGCGATGAAAAGAAACATCCATCATGTAAGTAAAAGTTGAATTCTACATTACAAAACGTTGTTGTGCGACATCCAAAAAAAATTAATTCTTTTCAACTGTGCAATATAAAGCGAGGTACTTGGAGATGAACTTGGTAACAAGAAGATCTTTAAGGATTTTAGCTGATTATTAGGAAGTGGAGTGTTGCTGAAAACACATGGTGTTAGTTGTAGCTACTAGAATTGTCGAATTCTATTGTGAACGCAAGGAATCCATAGATGCTTTCTTCTGTAAAGTTATCAAACTTCCTCAAGTTATTTGCACTTCTTCAAAATAGCAAAGATTTGCGGCAATATTAATAACGTAGTAACATATCAAAATGCTTGATTGCCACAAAAATGTCATTCAACAGCTATACAGTCGAAGTATGTTTCAGGTACAAAACGATCTCTTAGAGTTCCCAAATACTTGATGTCAAAGCTATCAGCAAAAAAAGAATAGACCAAAAGCTGTCCGTGGAAAATCCAATCTTAGTTGTAGAGGAGCACACTGTCATCACAATTACAGCAATGACAGGGATTAAAACTAGGGATTAAACAAGAACAACTACAGATAAGTAGGATTAAGTCGACAAGTGATGTTAAGACGTTGCAACATCGATATGCGAGTACTTCTCCTTCTTTTGAGATGAACGCTTTCTGGAGAAACAACTGGTTTGTGTATTCTCAACAACAGAAAACAGAACAAACAAGCTGCCACAGAATGTAGTTAAATAATATCCGATGCACGGTATTTACCGTTTTCATTATATTGCTTCAGTAGTATACATATGGTCTTGGTATTCGTTATTTCATATTCAGAAGTCTCTTCAACGACAATTATATACTACTTACAATGATTCCTGAGAATGCACATTTACCCTATTACACTACATACGTCAAAACATTTTTGATATACCTGTAGTATTCGCGTAACGTTTTTCATTCAGAATATTCTGAAAACTAAAATATAATCTGGTACTTCGGTGTTTTGCTAATGGCTAAAGTGATATTTTTTAAATTGATCCTTTCAAGGCAATGCTGTTAGGAATTGTAAGTTTTTTTACAATAGGCAACAGTCATTTCATCTGACACGTAATGCAATAATCTACCAATACTTCATATGTATACTTATTAGAATCGACAGATTATTTTGAACTTGTTTATTCATTCAGGATGATGAATGACTCGATTCAAAGAAAAAATTGAAATAAATATCACCCTCAGTCATCTCTTGTTATCTTGCTTTACCTTAACTTCATCTTCACTATTCTGACTTTCTCTTTTTTAATTTTAAATCGAAGGAAGAAACTTGAATCATGTAGTTAAAACCTTCATTTTTCGGAAATCACTAAAGTTGAAATGTGTGAAGACATCTATGCATCTGTGCGCCTATAAGACGTAGATGCAGGACATTCTATAGATTTCAGCATTTCCATCGTCAGTCAACCAAGTTTCCAAAGACTTCATAAATTTAACTGTCGGAATCCACTAAAATCTAAGAACTTTGGTGTGGGGGGGTAAAATGACTGCAATCTAAGTTTCCCCGATGCAACTAAGTGAGATTGAACCGGAATAAAAAAGGGGGATTATGCGTGAGCTGAGCAACATCACACTTCAATCATCAATTTTGAGTGTTGTCAGTTTGATAATTTCTCAACAGGGATAAAAGTGAATGTGCTTTAGTTGAAAAGTTATTTGTTATGGTTATAATACCATGAATTTTTTATATTATTTTTCCATCTTAGTAACTTCCTTAGCCGGCATGAAAATTGAGGGTACGTCTCTTAGATATTCAAGTGAATGTGGTTCACTTGATAGCAATTTTGTATTCATAAGAAGCATTATACATGATCTGGTTCTATTTCAATGATTATCGTCATACTTTTTGTGTCTGCTTTCAACTGAACATGGATTTCGAGTTGATCAGTTTTACAGTCACACCATGGTTATAGTGAAGTGGTTTTTCACCTGTAATTTATGCTGATAATTCTGAAACGGCCACTACTGTGCTTTTTCTATATCATGTTAAACAATCTTTACTTCTCCGCTTTAGATTCAGCTGAGAATAGTTCTTGAATGTTTTATCAAAGAGGTTTCAACTAAACTTAATACTACCTAATAAAAGGACTAGTTTGGTAGGCATTCGCTTTGATATCTGAAGCTGGTACTTTTTAAAAACCTATGTTTTGACTCGATAAACCACATCAATCTAATAGTGTAACCTGAGCAATTAACCTATCTGATCGATGGTGAGCTTAGACAGACAGTGCTGAACGTGTGCCAGTGAGCTGGTTGCTATGAATGCAACTATGAGTAACATCTTCCGTCGCACTTATAATGTACTCTCTTTGTATTGCAGTATCTTCATATTTCATCTGATGGTTTAAAATTCCAGCGATTTCCCATACTGAAAGAGGAGTTAGACACCAAATGCGCACAAATGAAACATAGTCAAATGTAACTTACATATGTAGGAAACTTCAGTAGAATAATAAGTGATTCAGGGTCTATAAAGCTAACTGTAATTTCACATAGATACACTCATATGACTGGAGGTAGTCAGCTGCACTTGGAAAGTATTCCAGTTCTGCATCAATTTACGGCACATAAAATAAACCATTGTGATATCAAGGTTCCATCGTTTTGGATCATATATGATGTCTTTTCTTTACTGTCAGTAAACTTCATAAATATTCGTGCTCAAAACATGAAAGCTTTCAACTTCATAATGACTCTATATTCCATTTTTTTATCATTAAGTTAAGAACTCGAAACGCTGAGATGGTTTATCGTCTTCATGTAACATTACAGTAATCATAAACTGAATATTTTAATCGAAATTTCATGAATTGTAACTTTTTGTGTTTGTGTGTTTAAAATAAATACCTGTTATATACATGCGTGTTTTTACTCATGCTGGATAACTATAAAGTTGTCACCATCTCTTGTAGATAGAAGTATTCATTTTGCATTCGGCGATTTGTTGTTATTTGTAAGAGTTGTCTGAAAAACACAGTACAGCAGCGTTATAAACAAAATTTGTAAGAATGTCAACAGTCCTCAAGATTAGACAAAGACTTTTCGTGCGTCAAGAATCAAAAATCAGATGAATGAAGTTGGTTGATAGGCGCATACCAATGTAACTTTAGTAGCAGATATTCAGATGTAAAAACAGAAGAGGATGCAATAAATCCAATTAGGACAAATAGTATAATCTACTATGTAATGACTGTAGGTGAGGTCTATCACATGAGTCAGACTAGTAGATCGCTTATCAATTACAGTATTAGAGCACAAAAATTAGCTTGACTTAGAACTAATGACCCTGCTAAACTAAATAACTTAGAAGAAAGCTCAATCATTGCACTGCACTACATTTACTCGCGTATAATCACAAAATTGGGTGAGGAAGACACTGTGGGAGTTTTAAAAAGTGATCAAGTTAGTTGGAAAGAGAAGTGATCCCTTGAGGCTTTGTTCATCGAATCAGCACCGCAGCATCTATATGGATAGTCGAAACACACAACAAGAAGAAGATGTAGGGAGAGAAAGATAAAATATGTATGTGGAAGAAATTATGAAAACGTGTGACTAAAATGATATGCCATCCAGTTTTATTACCGCATCACTCACTGTTTTATACTACAGATAAACTCATCGAATACACGATTTCATTCTGTCACGTTACTCAAGTTCTGCACCTACATAAATGGATGGAATCCATTTGATCACGAATCTCCGTTAAATGTAATTCTCACACACACACACATAGAATGTTAATTCTGTTCCATAGGTACTGCCCTTTATTAAATACATATAGTGATGCCAGGGTTAGCTATACACAAGTGTAAATTAACAGCAGTTGCATGGCATATAGAAATTCTGATCTCCGAATTTGGCTGATCAGAGTGTAAAGCTTTAATGTCTTTTGCATTTTGAAAGTTTCATATATAAATTCATCTTGGACAGCTCCAAATATAATGACATCATTGCAGTTTCCGAGGCCAAAATATTTCCTAATTACTTAGTGTATACACTCGTGCTCATAATTCTAATTCATGAAGCTATCTTTAAAAACAATAACTTATTCCTGCTATATGAAGGAGGTTTATTTGACGATTTAATCAGACGATGTCTGGATGAAAATTTGTGGGACTAAATAAAATGAATAATTATTGTCAAACTTTAACACGCAGTTTAGAGATTAGGAAGACAAGATGCTACGAAGTTCCTGTGTTTTTAGTTTTGAATTCTTTCACGTTCTCGGTAGAACATAGGGACCTGTGCTAGAGTTTCGAAGTTTCAGTAGCAATGGTGTTTATTTTACAGGATGGGGTTGCTAGCTTCATGCCCAACCTTCCGTCTTTGCCAGTCTTATTACTGGCTTAGCGAAGTAAACGACTGTCTCGGCTGAAAATCAAGCCCCTGACCATAAGCGTGATGGGGGGGGGGAATTCAACCGCTGCGTCATCGATGCGAATTTCCTGTGATTTAGGATGATGTTTCACTACCGATGATTGCTAGCGTCATCGATGTGATTCACGACGACAGTGAACTAATCAACGAATTCTTTAGATTGAATGGTTTTGGACATTTATGATAAGTGATTATTAGCTAAAACTGTGTGTAGCTCATTTTTATACTTGGCAGAAGTAGCATTTCATACAAGTTTGCTTACTATGACCTATTGAGGATGTTAATCTCTTAATAGTGAACATACCTTAGCACACATCATATCGCTACTTGAATCCTCTTCAGATCAAATGGCATTCCTGCACACACCCATAGCATAGGTAGCTACCAGAAATATTACCTATTTGAATGAATATTTCAGGGGCATAGTAATATGCCGTAAAATTCCCACTAAATAAATATGTACAGTAATCTAAGCAAAAAGCAACCAAGTGCATTAAGGTCAGGTCATTCAAGATACCATTTATAGAAGACATTCAAAGCATCTCTGGAAATCCTGAGACATGCCTTTGAGATGTAGTAAAGCTTTCTAGGGTTCTGCCTTACTTTCGGAATATGACTAACTAACAACTCAAAAAATACTGAGATTTTGAAGAATAAAGCGCTACCGAGATGATCAAAGTATACATAGTGAAATGGCTCACAGTTGAAAAGTAGTGAGAATTCCCTATAGCTGAATAATTCATTGGACAGACCTGATCAGGGATATCACAAGGTAAGAATAGGACCTCACAATTCCCCATTTAGGGATAGTTTCACTTAATTTCCAGGTCCTAGGCACATTTCCAAGTAAAATTCAAATTCCTTGTGAAAAGTCAGACAAACTGTGATAAAGGAACATGAATAAACTATAATGTGGAGTATTTGTCATCAAGGTTTTGCATTGTCAAGTACCTAATGATACCAACTTGATAAATATTTGGAGGGAGTCATTTCAACCACAAGCGGGTGGCAATAGTCAGGACGTTAGGGTCAGAGCCAAGAAGGTAAGATACATCTAGATTATGAATGAAAGAATATCACCAACCGTGAATGCAATCAGTAAAGAATCCAACTAACAAGGTGGAATACCAATAGGTGTTGGAACCCAACACTTCCAAATGAAACTAGAACGAGTAATAACAATAGCAAGTTTGTAACTTGACCAAATGAATCTTCAATTTTTGTTTTT